ATTGAGGATGTTTGCTGTGGGTTTATCATATATGGCTTTTATTATGTTGAGGTATGCTCCTTCTATGCCTGCTTTCTGGAGGGTTTTTATCATAAATGGATGTTGAATTTTATCAAAAGCTTTTTCTGCATCTATTGAGATAATCATATGATTTTCATCTTTCAATTTGTTAATGTGGCATAACACATTGATTGCTTTGCAAATATTGAAGAATCCTTGCATCCCTGGAATATAGCCCACTTGGTCATGATGTATAATCTTTTTAATATGCTGTTGGATTCTGTTTGTTAGAATTTTGTTGAGGGCTTTTCATCTATGTTCATCAGAGATATTGGCCTGTAGTTTTCTTTTTCTGTGGCATCTTTGTCTGGTTTTGGTATTAGGGTGATGGTGGCCTCATTGAATGACTTTGGCAGTTTACCTTCCTCTACAATTTTCTGGAAGAGTTTGAGTAGGCTAGGTGTTAGCTCTTCTCTGAATTTTTGGTAGAATTCACCTGTGAAGCCATCTGGTCCTGGGCTTTTTTTTGTTGGAAGATTTTTGATTAAAGTTTAGATTTCCGTGCTTGTGATGGGTCTGTTAAGATTTTCTATTTCTTCCTGGTTCCGTTTTGGAAGGTTATACTTTTCTAAGAACTCATTCACTTCTTCCAATTTGTCCATTTTATTGGCATATAGTTGCTGATAGTAGTCTCTTATGATCTTTTGTATCTCTGTGTTGTCTGTTGTGATTTCTCCATTTTCATTTCTAATTTTGTTGATTTGATTCTTCTTTTTTTTTCTTGATGAGTCTGGCTAATGGTTTGCATATTTTGTTTATCTTCTCAAAGAACCAGCTTTTAGTTTTGTTGATTTTTGCTATAGTCTTTCATTTACTTTTGCCCTAATTTTTTACTATTTCTTTCCTTCTACTAACCCTTGGGTTCTTCCTTTCTTCTTTTTCTACTTGCTTTTGGTGTACAGTTAGGTTATTTATTTGATTTTTCTCTTGTTTCTTGAGGTAAGCTTGTATTGGTATGAACCGTCCCCTTAGCACTGCTTTTACTGAATCCCATAGGTTTTGGGTTGTCATGTTTTCATTTTCATTCATTTCTATGCATGTTTTGATTACTTTTTTGATTTCTTCTGTGATTTGTTGGTTATTCAGAAGCATGTTATTTAGCCTCCATATGCTGGTATTTTTAATAGTTCTTTTTTTCCTGTAGTTGACATCTAATCTTACCACATTGTGATCAGAACAGATGCTTAAAATGATTTCAATTTTTTTGAATTTACCAAGGCCAGATTTATAGCCTAGGATGTGATCTATCCTGGAATGTTCCATGGGCACTTGAGAAAAAGGTGAAATTGTTTTGGGGTAAAATGTCCTATAGATATCAATTAGGTCTAACTGGTCCATTGTATCACTTAAAGTGTGTTTCCTTGCTAATTTTCTGTTTGGTTGATCTATCCATAGGTGTGAGTGGGGTATTAAAGTCTCCCACTATTATTGTGTTACTGTTAATTTCCCCTTTCATACTTGTTAGCATTTGCCTTACACATTGTGGTGCTCCTATGTTGGGTGCATATATATTTATAATTGTTATATCTTCTTCTTGGATTGATCCTTTGATCATTATGTAGTGTCCTTCTGTGTCTCTTTTCATGGCATTAATTTCAAAGTCTATTTTATCTGATATGAGTATTGCTACCCTTGCTTTCTTTTGGTCTCCATTTGCATGAAATATCTTTTACCAGCCTTTCACTTTCAGTCCATATGTGTCCCTTGGAGTAGTCAGTTTATTTAATCTCTTTCTCTCAGAAGATGTTTTGTTTGGTGAAACTTTACTGTACACCACACAGTCACAAAGATAGTGTCTAGGGCTGAACCAAATTACTTACAAACTACTTTCCTTCCTCCTCATCTCTGCCCTATCCAAATAAAGTATGTTTTTTATGTAATTATTTGTGTCAGGTCTTAGCTGTAGCATGCAGGATCTTTAGTTTCAACACGTGGATTCTAGTTCCCTGACTAGGGATCAAACCCAGGCCCCCTGCAATGGGAACGTGAAGTCTTAGCCACAGAACCACCAGAGAAGTCCTAAGTATATGTTTTTTAATTCTGAAAAAAATTAGCTCCAGAGAAGAACCTATTTCTTTATTTTTATCTTTGTAAAGAAGTAAAAAGGAAAAAAAAAAAGCAACTGTCACCCCATCAAGGTTTTCATTTGTTAAAAACTGTTCTGCTGGCAGAAAATTTAGAATTTTTTTAAGGATCTTCCCAAAATTGCTTTAGCTTAAAACAAAGTGAAAATGATTCCCAGCCACCTCTCATTTTCTTACCCATCATTCAGGCCTTCTAATTCCATCTCTTCACCACCTTGAAATGAAACAAGCTTACATAAATGACATGTTACTGGTCTAACTCGAAAAAGTCTTTTTAGACAGGATTTTAAAATGTGTTCTCTCATTGGGTAAATGCTCAAAGAATACACTGAGGTCTTCTAAGCTTAGCTGGAATCAATTTATTGGGCAAGTAATGAATCTAATTGTTATGCTAGCTTCCATGTCAGCAAAATAACAGATGTACAGTATAATGGTGGTGGGGGGGTTGCTTTGGGATTGCTAGAGCAGGTGCGACTTTAAAAAAAAAATCACATGGAACTTTATCAAGTGCATTTGGAAACAGTTGGAAATGAGCCAGGAGGAACATTCTCCTTCAATCCCTTAGACATCCAGTTGTGGACTTGGATTAGGCCCCTGAACAGCTGAGTTAGGAGGACACTGACACCTTGTCACTCTTTCAAGCTCTTTATTCCCTCCTCACCCTCCAACAAAAGCACCAGAGATTGCCCTCCCCTAACTAGACACACACACACACACACACACACACGTCCAGCTGCCAGATATGCCAGTTCCCTTTCAGAGAACACTAGAGAGTGAGTCCAGGCAAGTTACCATGGTTCTCTGACTATTATTGTGTCCAGCCCATCAGGGAATGGAAATAAGCGTGCACATGTTCTTAAAGGCCCTTTGGGGAAGATCAGTGGGGCTGCATGGGGGACACAATGGCAGGCTTTGTCACAAAGAAAGGATTTGGGCTGGCAGGCAGCAGCAGTCCTGCTGGACACAGAGTTTGTCTGCAAAGGCAGTGGGGGAAAACCATGTGCTGGGTTACAGAGCATCCTCACTGGGAAAAGTAGAGCATTTCACGTAATTAAAAGTCATCCTGAAGACATCAGGTAAGAACCTGCTGTTTTTAATTAATTGCTCCTGTGATCTTGTGGCTTTAAAAGGGGTGCTACTCAGAGAGGTTTGATTCACTCCAGAAACAAGTTATTCAGATGAGGGCAAAACACGGTGTATTTGAAAGTTTGATAAAGGCAAAAGAGGAAAGAGAAGGAAAACTATGTGAGAGAAAGAACTGAAAGTCGAAATCACCCATGTATAATTTGCTAAAATAATCGTATTCTCTTTTCATGCTCTGTGTCTCAGCACCTTCACATTCAAAGGACAGCTTCCCCCTGACCTACATCCTACCTTGATATATAAATTATTTTGAGGAAAAAATCCTCAGAGTCAAGGTTAACAGAAAACAGCTGGAAAACAAACTGAGAGCCATATGTCATAGATTCCTCCAAGTAGAAAGATTAAAAAAAAAAAACAAAACTCCATTATGAAGAGTCAGCACGTCCAGAACAAGCAGGTGGGACCAAGGACTTTACATAGTCTCCACGATGATGAAAATAAACATGGTGAGGACTATATAATTGTGTCAGTTACAAAAAGAGGGACTGGACAACATGAGAAATCTGATCTGAAATCTTTTTTTCTTTCTCCATTATAAAATCTGCAACTCAATTATCTTAAGCAGTTAACTGCCATTCTGCTTTTCTTGTGCATCTCCTTAGATGGAGAAAGGGTTGCATCTTGAAGAATGTATCACAGCTCATGCTTTTCAAATTTCTGATATGTAAGCCTCTACTCTTTATAGATCTTTCAGATGAAAGAACACTGGTGGCAGCAGAATGGCCCCTTGATGACATGAGGTCCCACCACCCATCAAAAAGAAGAAATTTGAGACCTAAAACAGAGCACTGTCTGTGTCCTTTCTTGAACTATCTACCCTGTTTTCTCTTTCACAAATCATGATAATAAAACAAAGTTTTTCTTAAAAAAAAAAAAAAAAGAATGCTTCCATTTAGACTCACTACTTATAAGGTATAATATATAAAGTAGTATCAGCACAGGAGATAGAATTTGATTATATTAAAGGTTATAAAGGAAAACTAGGGAGTTCCCTGGTGGCTCAGTATTTAGGATTCTGTGCTTTCATTGCCAAGGGTCCAAGTTCAATCCCTCGTTGTGGAACTGAGATCCTGAAAGCTGCTCAGGGCAGCCAAAAAAAGAAAGAAAGAAAGAAAGAAAGATAGCATTAACTAGCTAAATCAAATATATTTTTTTAAGTTGTACGTTTTCTTCTAATCTTCCCCATTGTTTTAATTGTTGTATAAATTTGTATCCTTTCTCACTTAATAAATATTAGTATCTTCCCATGTCACAACAACAATGTAGTTGATATTCCTTGAAAGGTGCCAGAAAATTATTCTTCCCTCTTTTCAGAAGCCCCGGGGTGGGTGCGGGGCGGTGGACAGGTGTGGCTGTGTGCGTGTGTAGAGCCAGGCTCTCTGTCATGTGGCTCTGCTTCCATGACTGATTCAGTACTAGGGTTGACATCGTGCTCAACATGGGCACTCTCTGTTCTACTGCATGTGTGCTAAGTTGCTTCAGTTGTGTCCGACTCCTTGTGATCCTATGGAGTGTAGCCTCCAGGCACCTCTGTCCATGGGACTCTTTAGGCAAAAATACTAGAGTGGGTTGCCATTGCTTTCTCCAGGGGATCTTCCTGACCCAGGGATCGAACCCAGGTCTCCCACATTGCAGGCATATTCTTTACTATCTGAGCCACATGCCACTCTGTTCTATTAGGATTTGTCAAATCTGTCATATTTTCTATTACAGACTGCAACCCTTACAACGTAAGAGTTGGTGATTGGTGGGGTGATGAGGAAGCCCAGAGAAAACCACAGAAAAGGTAATACAACTCGTGATGTAGGGAGTGGAGTAGAGAGAAGCTGTGGCTCATTGAAATTAAGTTGAGTCACCCTGTTGTGTAAATTACTAACAGATAGTCACTTTCAGAAAATGATCAAATAATTGAGTCAGCAGAGATATAGTAAAAGCTCCGTAAACATGTATGGCTGAGCCCTTTCACTGTTCACCTGAAACTATCACAACATTGTTAATTGTCTATACACCAATAAAAGTTCAAAAGGAAAAAAGCTCAGTATTAATAGTTAATATCTAAATAACACAGCATGTCAGGCAATGTTCTCTGTTCTCCGTGTTTGTCCTTCTGTCTAACCTTCCCATCATTCCTACAGTGTGGGTTCTATTATTGTCTTTATTTTAAAAATGGGGAAACACTTGAGCAAAGCTGTTAAGTGACTTGACAAACATTCAAACTCAGGAGGGCTGGTTCCATGGCTGTAATATTCTTTTTTATAATAAGAAATACATTTGGTTTTCATCCCCCATTCTGGCACAGAACTCCTGAAATTCCTGGAATCTCCTAAGTGACAAGAGAAGTTAACGGACCTTTATATTTATAACAAACTCCTTTCAGCCACAATTGAGTTTATGCTAATGAGGCAATTTGAGATGCACCTAAAAGTTAAGGGCTAGTTGCCAGAGGAATCAACCACAGGATTAGAGGATTGGAAAATTTAACCCCACCTCTCTAACTCTGGGGAGGGGAGAAGGGAAAAGGGTTAGAGACAGGGTTAAATCATGATTTAGCCAATTGCATCTATGCAAAGCAGCTTCTATAAAAACCTAAATGTGGGACTTCCCTAGTGGTCCAGAGGCTAACATTTCATGCTCCCAAAGCAGGTCGGGGAACTAACCCCACAGGGGGCAAATAGGAATACACATGCTACAACTAAAATGCTGAAATGAAGACCAAAGATCCCATGTGCTGCAACTAAGACCTGGCACGACAAAATAAAATAAATAAATAAATATTTAAAACAAAAAGTCTCTAAAAGCATAGGGTTCAGAGAGCTTCTGGGTTGATGAATACATGGAGATTCTGGGAAAGTGGTCCATCCAGAGAGGGCATGGGAGTTCTGCATCCTTGCTCACATCCCTTGCTCTATGCATCTCTTCCATCTGTCCATTTTTGAGTTACATCATTTTATAATAATTAGACTGATCTAGTAAGTAAAATGTTGCTCTGAGTTCTCTGAGCCATTCTAGCAAATTAATGGAACCCAAAAAAGGAGTTGTGGGAACCTCTCATCTATTGCTGAAACAACACAATCAGAAACCCCACATCAGACGGGATTCAAATTCAGCCAAAACTCAGACTGGGTCTTGAACCCATGGTCTTTTAATTGAAATCACATATCTGACCTCAGAACTTAATGAAGCTCAGGTTCAAGGGTAAGAAGCAGATTTACTGAGAGACATATACACACCATAGACCATGAGTTTGAAACATCTCAGAAGGCAAGAGGCCCTGAAAGATACATATTCCATAGACAGAATATGGTCCATCTCAAAAGGGGAAATGGATTCTGAAATACTTGGTGGTTAGTTTTTATGGGCTGAGTAATTTCATAGGCAAACAAGTGTGAGGGTTATTCCAACTACTTCAGGGGAAGGTGCAGGGATTTCCAGAAATTGGGCCACTGTCCATGTTTCTGCCTTTTGTGGTCAGTTGAACTGTCATGGCATTTGTGGGTACGTCACTTAGCATATGAAAATGTGTTACAATGAGCATATAATGAGGCTTGGGCTTCCCTAGTAGCTCAGATGGTAAAGCATCTGCCTGCAATGCAGGAGACCTGGGTTCAATCCCTGGCTCAGAAAGATCTCCTGAAGAAGGAAATGGCAACCCACTCTAGTATTCTTGCTGGAAAATTTCATGGACAGAGAAGCCTGGTAGGCTACAGTCCATAGGGCTGCAGAGAGTCGGACATGACTGAGCGACTAACACACACATAATGGGCTCAAAGTCTACTGGAAGTCGAATATTCCACCATCTTGAGCCTAACTGGTTCTAACCAGTTTTTGTCACATCCTCCATGGCAATGTCATTCTTTTGAGGGTTGTACCCTTCCCCCTGTTCCCCCCATAGCCCATGGATCACAATCACCAGTGACAACCTGGACTTGCTATAGCAGTCTGTAGTGTGTACACTGGGACAGGGGCAGGGAACGGGGGTCTTATAGGACTGAGCCCTTAACCCATGGGATCTGATGCTTTCTCTAACTTTTGTATGCACATGGATGCCTGATTGTGTCTCCATTTTTACAATCTGAAAGAGTTCATTTCATAAAAGTCTTTGTTCAGTTCAGTCATTCAGTCATGTCCAACTCTTTGCAACCCCATGAACTGCAGCATGCCAGGCTTCCCTGTCCATCACCAGCTCCTGGAGCTTGCTCAAATTCATGTCCATCAAGTTGATGATGCCATCCAACCTTCTCATTCTCTACCATCCCCTTCTCCTCCTGCCTTCAATCTTTCCCAGCATCAGGGTCTTTTCCAATGAGTCAGTTCTTCATATCAGGTGGCCAAAGTATTGGAGTTTCAGCTTCATCAGTTCTTTCAATGAACAGGACTGATTTCCTTTAGAATTGACTGGTGTGAACTCTTTGCAGTCCAAGGGACTCTCAAGAGTCTTCTCCAACACCACAGTTCAAAAGCATCAATTCTTCAGCACTCAGCTTTCTTTATAGTCCAATTCTCGCATCCATACATGACTACTGGAAAAACCATAGCTTTGACTAGCTAGACCTTTGTCAGCAAAGTGATGTCTCTGCTTTTTAATATGCTGTCTAGGTTGGTCATAAACTTTCTTCCAAGGAGCAAGTGTCTTTTATTTTTGTGGCTGCAGTCACCATTTGCAATGATTTTGGAGCCCAAGAAAATAGCCTGTCACTGTTCCCATTGTTTCCCTATCTATTTGCCATGGAGTATTGGGACAGGATGCCATGATCTTAGTTTCTTGAACGTTGAGTTTTAAGACCGTATTTTTTTTTTCACTCTCCTCTTTCACTTTCATCAAGAGACTCTAGTTCCTCTTCACTTTCTGCCATAAGGGTGATGTCATCTTCATATCTGAGGTTATTGATATTTCTCCCAGCAATCTTGATTCCAGCTTGTGCTTCATCCAGCCTGGCATTTCGCATGATGTACTCTGCACATAAGTTAAATAAGCAGGGTGACAATCTTTACATATTCCTTTCCCAATTTGGAACCAGTCTGTTGCTCCATGTCCGGTTCTAACTGTTGCTTCTTAACCTGCATACAGATTTCTCAGGAGGCAGGTCAGGTGGTCTGTTATTCCCATCTCTTGAAGAATTTTCCACAGTTTGGTGTGATCTACACAGCCAAAGGCTTTGGCATAATCAATAAAGCAGATGTTTTTCTGGAATTCTTTTGCTTTTTCTATGATCCAACAGATGTTGGCAATTTGATCTCTGGTTCCTCTGCCTTTTCTAAATCCAGCTTGAACATCTGGGAGTTCACAATTCAAGTACTGTTGAAGCCTGGCTTGGAGAATTTTGAGTATTACTTTGCTACCATGTGAGATGACTGCAACTGTGCAGTAGTTTGAACATTCTTTGGCAAGTTTTTGTACATACGTATACATGTACATGGGCTTCCCAGGTAGCACTAATGGTAAAGAACCTGCCTACCAATGCAGGAGACAGAAGAGATGCAGGTTCAATCCCTAGGTCATGAAGATACCCTGGAGGAGGGCATGGCAACCTACTCTAGTATTCTTGCCTGGAAAATCCCAAGGACAGAGAAGCATGGGCAGAATACAGTCGATAGGGTCACAAAGACTCAGACACGACTGAAGTGACTTAGCACACACCCACACATAAATGTACATATACGTATGCATATGTATGTATGTATTTGTGTGTATGATATATATAGAGAGAGATAAAATGCGTATGTGTATATATATAATTAAACTACTGCCTATGTCAGTATTTACACAGCCCATAGCCATTTCAGAGAGATAGAAAGACAAGTGGTTGGGAATTCCCTAGTGGTTCAGTGATTAGCACTCTGGGCTTTCAGTGCCCAGAATCTGGGTTTGAGCCCTGACCTGGGAACTAAGATCCCAGAAGCCTCTTGGCACGGCCAACAGAAAGAAAGGAAGGAAGGAAGAAAAGTGGTTGTCAAGGATATGGATGCGGGAGAATGAGGAGTGACCGTTTATGCATATGGGGTTTCTTTTGGAAGTGAAGAATATATTTTAAATTCAACAAGGATGCTGGTTGTGCCATAATGTATTAGTGTAAACACACTAATACCATTAAATAGTATACTTGAAAAGATGTGAATTTCATTTATCTAAATTATAGTTGAATAAAGCTGTTATTTTTTTAAAAAGTCACACTACACAAGCATTTCTCCTATAGATAACATTTCCTACCTCTGCACATCAGAAGTCATATCAGAGAGATGGAGAGCATCTTAGAGGTCATCTACTTGCCTATAGGCAACCAATTCTCAATTCCTGGCAGAAGCTTAAAATCTTATCAATCTTTAGGGCTTTCCTGGTGGCTCAGGGGTAAAGAATCCACCTGTCAATATTAGAGACATGGCCTCAGATCCTTGATCCAGGAAGATCCCACATGCCTCAGAGCAACTAAGCCCATGCATCACAATTATTGAGCCTGTGTTCTAGAGCAGGAGCCACAACTACCAAAGGCCACTAGACTTACAGCCCCGTGCTCCACAACATGAGAAGCCACCACAATGAGAAGTCCGCGTACTGCAACTAGACAGTAGCCCTCACTCGCCACAACTAGAGGAAACCTAGTGCAGCAATGAAGACCCAGCACAGCCAAAAGTAAATAAATAAATTATATTACTTTTAAAAATCTTATCAACCTTTAGAATAATGTCAAACAAGATCTATCTTCCTAATTACACTTTAGCAAAATGTTCACAAGTATGAAGCCCCTGATTTGGATAAAAGGAAAGAATTCTAGTTAAAAGTTGATCCAA